ACTTCCTCCACTCAGCCCATATTTGGTAATGCCTTCAAGTTCTCCTCTCTCTCTCTCTCTCTGTTTTTTTCAGTCTTCAGTTGGTCAGTTTGTGTGTCTGTGGTGTGTTTCGACAATGGCGGGTTGGGCAGCAACCGAGAGATCCTCCCAAACACGTAGCTGGATTTTACCGGTGTTACTAGAGGCATCAAACACTGACGGCTCAGTCCTTTTGTAGAGCTGCATTTCACCAACTATTTTCAGAATCATTAAACAACAAATATTCAGTAGTCCGTTTTGGTTGGTGCTCTTATTTTGTCGCAATGGGAATATTTGTTAGAGAAGGTGTGCTGGGAAGCACAAGGTTGGTGGTTCGATTCCAGGCTGCCCCATGTTCCATGTCGAAGTGTCCCTGAGCAAGACACCTAACCCCTAATTGCTCCCCGGGCAAAAATGTGAAAAAGCCACGGGTTTAAAGTGTAATGTAAGTCACTTTGGATAAAAGCGTCTGCTAAATGACATGTAATGTAATGTAGTATAATATGTTTTGTTCTACTGTAACTCTTGATTTTTATAAATTACCTTTCCCACTTATTCATTCTGTCCACATTACATCACTGATTAATATTTTTCAAAAGGTCTCCCTGTGTGAACACCAATACACAACCCCACAGTACGATCACAAAAAATACCTATTTATACATGCGGTCACTTCACATTTTTATGCATTTGTTACTTAAAGAAACTTGTACTTTATTTTGAAATGCAACTGTGTGGATGTGAGAATAGTTGGTTCTTTTCCCAGCACTACACAGTCCAGGTTACAGTAAAGTATCAGGTCACTCTCATTCTTTGCTTGAATTGTGGTTTTTAATGGCGAGTGGGTCGTCGTGGCGCAGGGGGTAGAGAGGGTGTGCTGTGAACCACAAGGTTGGTGGTTTGAGTCCCGGCTGCCCCATGTCCCATGTCGAAGTGTCCCTGGGCAAGACACCTAACCCCTAAGTGCTCCCTGGGCAAAATGTAAGAGCCATGGGTTAAAAATGTAATGTAAGTCGCTTTGGATAAAAGCATCAGCTAAATGACTTGTAATGTAATGTTGGTCTTGGTCCTAGTCCACCCAGAACAAACATTTGACCACGTAGGACAGCGCGGTTTGGGTCCGTGTGGAATGCAAAGACAACTCTGTCCTCTTCACGTCAGCCAGAGGAGGAAGAGGAGCTTCAGCGAAGAATGCAATGCAACAATAAATAGACAAAGAGGTCAGAGGGCGACCAGACCTCAAACGTTTTTGAGAGATTCTGTGAACCGACACATGGCCCGGACCAAATTAGGAGACACAGATCGGAACATGGAGAGCTTTCTCACGGAAGGACATTTCTACAGATCTTTCCAGAGAGCCGGTGTCTTTTAAAGCTTTCTTCTTTGCAAAGAAGGTTCAATGGAGCAGGCAGTCTACGTGAGAAAGGGCCGCTCTGCTCTAGTTGTCAGATACAGAAACCACAGTTTACACACCGGCTGCACCATTAAAACAAACAGTAAGATGGTAGAGAAGAAACAAGGGAAGTCAACAAAAGGAAGTCCGTTGGATAGGTGGCCTCTTGACCCTCAATGAGGCAATCTGTGAGCTTGAGACCCTCCCATGAAGGATACATATATATTTCTTAGTAGTGAAAGCAAAGACGGGGGTCAGGATGAGTACTCGTAAGACTTAACCTAAACCTTCTGTGGTTAAAACTGTTTGCAACCACATTTAGCTGCTAGTTGATGCACAGCAGACATCCTTGATGGTCTCACGTTCACTATCAAAGGGAGATGCAACATCTTGCTATGGGAACTGAGATCAGGTATACAGTTGTGCTCATAAGTTTACATAACAGCGTGAAGTCTTTTGTGGTAGTTGTGGATGAGGCTCTTTATTTTCTCAGATGGTAAAACTGCCAATTCGTCTTAGCAAAAAGCCTCCAGTTCCTGTAAATTCTTGGGCTGTCTTGCTTGAACTGTACGTTTCAGATCTCCCCGAAGTGGCTCAATGATATTGAGGTCAGGAGATTGAGATGGCCACTCCAAAACCTTTACTTTATTCCGCTGTAGCCATTGACAGGTGGACTTGGCCTTGTGTTTTGGATCATTGTCATGTTGGAACGTCCAAGTACGTCCCATGCGCAGCTTCCGGGCTGATGAGTGCAAATTTTCCTCCAGTATTTTCTGATAACATGGTGCATTCATCTTGCCATCAAATTTGACCAAATTTCCTGTGCCTTTTGTAGCTCACACATCCCCAAAACATCAGCGATCCACCTCCATGTTTCACAGTAGGAATAGTGTACCTTTCATCATAGGCCTTGTTGACTCCTCTCCAAATGTAACGTTTATGGTTGTGACCAAAATGTTCAATTTTGGTCTCATCACTCCAAATGACTTTGTTCCAGAAGTTTTGGGGCTTGTCTCTGCTGTTTGGCGTATTGTAAGCGGGATACTTTGTGGCATTTGTGTAGTAATGGCTTTCTTCTGCCGACTCGACCATGCAGCCCATTTTTCTTCAAGTGCCTTCAATTCAGAGTCCTGTATTTCAGCTGAAGTTATTTGTGGGTTTTTCTTTGCATCCCGATCAATTTTCCTGGCAGTTATGGCTGAAATTTTGGTTGGTCTACCTGACCGTGGTTCGGTTTCAACAGAATCCCTAATTTTCCACTTCTTAATTAGAGTTTGAACATTGCTGGTTGGCATTCTCAGTTCCCTGGATATCTTTTTATATCCCTTCCCTGTTTTATACATTTCAATTACCTTTCCCCGCAGATCCTTTGACAATTCTTTTGCTTTCCCCATGACTCAGAATCCAGAATCGTCAGTGCATTACAGGATGAAAGACGTAAGGGTCTGTCAGGAGCCCAGAAACTCACTGACCTTCTACACACACACACTGACTACAAGCAAACAGATCACAGGTGTGGATGGTTTCCTTTAGTAGCCATTCAAACCCGTTTGTGTTAACCTGTGTGCATGTTATCAGGCCAAAATCACCAGGGTATGTTAACTATCATTATGATTTAAAAAGAGTAAACAATGAATTGAATGATAATAAATGGCTTCAACCAACCACTAACCATAAGTGAAAGAGAGGTTTTTGTGTTATCATTCATATTCTCTGAAGAAATGGCCAAGAACTCATTAATTCTGCCAGAGTATGTAAACTTATGAGCAGAACTGTACTTAATACTATTCCAATGATATTCACAAGAGTATAGCAATTTATACTTTTCCTGTCCCAGCAGAGGAGCGTTCCTGGTGTCCTCCAGGAGTGTGTTGTGAATGAGAGTAGAGGATGGATTTCCAGCTCGGACTCAAATCCTAAAATGCTATTCCAGTGATTTGGTATTGCCCTGAAAGTTAGTGTTTTTGTTGTTGTTTCATGTTCTGTGCATGTGGCTCTTAGGGTGTGACATCGACCTCTTGACGGTGGGCACGCACACGTCTCAGTGGACACTCTGTGTTGTTATATTTAAACGTGATTTTTGGTCCCGATAAAAGCGTGTGTGTTGATAAGTGGAGTTGTCCCTCTGTGTGAATGCTGCCTCAATGTCACTGATCAGAAACAGTTTGTATGGTTTGAGGGAATGGTTCATAAGTGACTTTCAAACATTTCAGTCCAAAACTCTGAACATGCAGGTTAGGTATAAGTTACTATTGCAACCCAATGATCTGTGCCCTCAGGTGTGATAGCAGGTTGTGTTTGACGGTGGAGACAGACTCATTGCGTCTCCAGGCAGAAGTATCAAGGTCATGTTGCACATGTACACACACACACACACACACACACACACACACACAACGCTGTCCTTTCAAAACTGGGGTAAAATACCATCCGAGCTGCCAGGTCCAGACAGGAGTCCCCTGCAGGGATCAATCCCCACCTGTCGCACGCTCTCTTTCACGTCAGTCTTCTTGTAAACACCTGCTCCTCTGTGGAGCTGCAGGATTCACCTCACCACGGCGGTTTGATTCCCCAGTGATGTCCGTCATGGTGCTGCAGTATCTTGTGACCGTGGTGTTCTCAGTCAGCTCTGTTGCCACCCAGGCACACGAAGGGTCACTTGGACACGCTTTAAGAGAAGGAGCAATCCTCCATTTAATGTCCGCAGGTCAGAAGCGTCGACTAGTAGGAATATTATTTCTCCTTTTGTATTCCATTCTGGGCTGCAAAAAAATAGTTGTTTTCATGATTTTATCATATTTTATCTGGATTTTTCATTTTATTTGATTCTATTAAATGTACATACGGGAAAATGCTGTCATCTTTGTCCCACAAACTCCCCATTACTGTAAAATCAGACAAAGCTCACATTCTAGGAGTTGGAACAGTAACAAAGTAAGTTTCCTTATAGCTTGAGAACAGATTAAAAACATGAATTGGTGGTGAAAATGTTTAGAGCCTTTTTTGCATTTTTTCCCTTTATACTTATTCTTTAGGTTGTTCTTGTACAGTCACTCTGCATATAGCCAAAATTATATATTTTTACCTGATATTTTGAAAAGACAGCCAGAACATTGTCTTGGATTTTCTGTATTTATGTGCATACGTTTCTTTCCTAAACCCTATGTAGCACATTAAGACCTGTAATAATAACGGCTGAAAATGAGTGCTTACATTCAAATAGAGTTGTGAGGCTTCTATTTGGCAACGAGGTATTAAAGCTCATGCTGAATATCCTGATGATTAAACATCCACTGTTTTGATATGGTCTTCTTAGCGTTTACTAGAATAATCCCGTTCCTGAACACAGACTTTCCCTGTTTGGCCCACTTACCCAACAGGAAGCCGCCTCCAAAACACTCAACAACCTCAACAATACCCGCAGCAGCTATTTCCGTCCTCTGCCTGTTGACTAAACCCTGCCCCCCATATTTAGTTCTCGTGTACAGATAAACACTATTAATTCCTTACAGCTCCTCATGCTTGTCCTAAACACAACCATTATATGATCCATGAACTGTCTTCCATCTCCAACTGTCTCCCCCAACAGTGCGAGGATGTCGTCCAGGGAAGATCGTACAGATGACAGAGGCGGAGGTGCGTGGCCTCTGCATCAAGTCCCGGGAGATCTTCCTCAGTCAGCCCATCCTCCTGGAGCTGGAGGCCCCGCTCAAAATCTGTGGTCAGTACCTCCTAGTTAAAAGTCCTCTCTGGTCCCCCGCGGGGGTCGTCGCGGCTCACCGCCTCCTCTCCGTCCCTCAGGTGACATCCACGGACAGTACACAGACCTGCTAAGGCTCTTCGAGTACGGCGGCTTTCCCCCAGAGGCAAACTACCTGTTCCTGGGCGACTACGTGGACCGGGGGAAGCAGTCCCTGGAGACCATCTGCCTGCTGCTGGCCTACAAGATCAAATACCCCGAGAACTTCTTCCTGCTCAGGGGCAACCACGAGTGTGCCTCCATCAACCGCATCTACGGCTTCTACGACGAGTGTGAGTGCGCCGCTCACGTAGGACTTTTATTATGTATGATGGAATACACACACACATCATTTCTAAAAAAATAAGTAGCAATTTCCAAATCGCTTACTGTATTTTGTCTTGTAAAAGACATCAACCAATATTGGGGTACCAATTTTTTTTTAAAACGAATATCTACTCAATAAAGAATAACCAAATAGTGTTTGGGTCGAGGCCTTAGATCAAACTCGTTCACAGGGGTTATTTGGTGAATATAGGGGGGAAACAAGTGATTTTTATTCCATAAATAAAAAAGGGACGCTTTCTCTTCCTGAACTCTGTTCAGCACGGACCAGCAGATGTAATTTTATCACGTATCATTTGTCTTAACTAATAAGTAGCAGCAAACTATTGTTTGTAGTTAAATGTTTTATTACATTTAGAAGTCTGCTTTAAGTTTTAACTTGATGACCGGGGCTGATACGGCGCTTCAGCTCTGCGTAGCAGCAGGATCCCTCAGACTCTCCACAGACTACTACGAACTCCTGCAGAAGATCACAGTCTTAGAAACAAAATTCACCGACTGGAAGTGAACGTGGATGTAAATCCCACTTTACCATAGACTCAAAACATTGGACAAACGCAAGCTAAGACACCGCTAACTAGCACCAGCAGGCCTACTAAGAAGCAGGAGGGTTATGTAGCAGTTAATCAAAATGCTAGTCCTCCCTGGAACTAGTAAATCATACCCCCACGACGACTATAAGCCTCGAACTAAAAAAAAACAACGTTTTTTTTCCAATGACGTATGATGCTAAATCTCCATGTGATGACCTGGATCAACTGTCTTCTCAATGCGGAGTAAGGGCTGAGTAAATGTGAACGTAAAGGCCGCAGGAAAAGCTAATGGGCCAGAGGCTCATTTGTCGGTGACTACGCTGATAAAGATGTCAGAACAATATGCAGCAAGAATACCAAAATACTCTGCTTTCCAAAATATATGACCTGAGGGAGAAGATCATGGACATAATGGCTGACCAGCCCACCATGACAAACATCATTTTGCATACAGGGGATGTGATATTATTACACAAGAGTCTGAAGTTCTGAAGCAAGACTTCATTGATCTATTGAACACAGTCAGCTGTGTCAATGCAGAGGTGTTTATCAGTGGCCCTCTCCCACTAGTCAGACGAGGAGATGAACGATTCAGCAGGCTGTTTGCGCTGAACAACTGGCTGTCAACCACATGTATTGACCGCTCAATACATTTTATCTACAAGTTCTACCTTTTTTGGGAGCGTCGACATTTTTTTAAGGCCAATGGAGTTTGCCTTAACAAGTTGGGGGTAAAATTGTTAACCTCTAAGTATAACTTGTATTGAATTTGACTGTATTGTTATTTTTGGTGATTTGAATATCCATGTTTATAATCCCCAGAACACACTCTTGACCTAAACATCAACAAAGGTCTGAACATTTCCAAGGTTGTTATTACACTCTGATCATTTCTGCGTTTCAATCTCCTTGCACACAAAAGTCCTGACCAAGGGTGTGAAAAAGCGTTAAATCACTGAAAGCACCAGTGAACTATTTATACAGAAGTTTTCCTCCACACCAGCTCTCTCCTGCATCTCTGTCAATGAGCTCGTTGACAGGTTCAGTTCCAAAGTAGAAAATATTATTGATGACGTTGTACCCACTAAAATTGTCTCAGTAAGCAAAGATCTTCTTGGGGAAATGCCACACTGCCACACTTTGAAAGAGAGTGTCGGCAGGCTGACACTCCAGGTCCACTCTCACTCTGATCTATAAAGACAGATTTTGTAATTAGGATTTGACTTCTCTGACATAATAAGTAAAAATAATAATAATAACAGACACTTTTTTTGCTACCGTTGACAGGCTAACAAACCCTCCAGTGTCAGTGGGCGCTGAGCTTCAATCCACCTGGTCACGCAATCAATTAGCTTCCTTTTTTACTGATAAATTCAGACAATTGGACAAGCAGTCTGTGCCTCCACACCATATGTTGTATCCCGATCTCAGGATAACATCCGTTCAAACACCATGACACAATTTAATTCAATCAACCATACAGGCCTGGATGACATTATACAACATCTGAAGTCATTCTCCTGCTGCTTAGATATTCTTCCAACACACTTCTTCAAAAATATTTTCAAACTGCATTACTAGTGCGCTCTCATCTCTTCTCAACACACCCCTCATCTCAGGTATCTTCCCACAAGGCCTACAAACTGCTGATATTCAACCAATCCTACAGATGGCTAATTTAGTTGCGGCAACAATGAAAAATATCCAACCTGCCTTTTTTTATTTTTTTATTAACGTGATTGAAAAGGTGTTTTTTCAACAGCTAAGTTACTTCTTGGCCGCAAATAACGGTGTTGATGCCTTCTAGTCAGTTGTTCGACAGCACCACAGTACTGAAACTGCTCTTTTAGGGTTTTCAACGAGATTCACTTAAACAGACAATGGCAGAATTTCAATCTTTTCTGGATCTCAGCGCAGCATTTAACACTGTGTCTACCGTGACATCCTACTGGACAGACTAATCAACTGGGTGGGACTCTCTGGCACAGCACTTAACTGGTTTGAATCCTACTTGAAAGACCAAAAGTACTTTGTCTGTAACTAATTACACATCAGAGCTGAAGAAAAATAAATTAAATATCAGGTACACATGTGGTGTTCCCAAAGGTTCAATACTGGGGCCCCTTCGGTTCAACATCTACATGCTCCATTAGCTCACATTGTGGAAAATAACATTTTGTCATCATAGTTATGCAGACAACACACATCTAAATAACTATATAACCAGGGAACTACAATCCAATACAAGGGCTGCGTAAATGCATTTAACAAATCAACAACTGGATGTGTCAAAACTTTCTTCAATTAAACAAAGATAAAACCAAAGTCATAGTTTTCGTTAACGAGGATGAACGATTGAAAGTCAGCGCTGAGATTCGATCACTGATGCTATTAAAAACCGCCATATCTGGAACAAAGTCCCAGAAAGATGCAGGTCTGCTGAGTCCTTCAGCTCCTTTAAGGTTAAAGACTTCTGTTTGCTGCTTTCTTTAATTGACCTTTTCAGCAATTATTAACTACACTGCAAATTTGATTCTATCTTTAGTTTATTAACAAAAGTCATTAAAAAGATAAAAGACGTTTCAATCCATTTTCTTGTAAATCTACTTTGCTTTATGTTTGGATGTTAATGGTTTTATGTGAAGCACTTTTAATTACATTGTTGTGGAAGTTTGCTGTACAAATAAAATTGCCATGCCTTAAAAAGGATTATTATCTCTTAGATATATTATCATTGACAAATGACCAAATTTATTAAAATGGACGTTGTAGCTTCACTCCAAAGTTCACTGTTGTAACAAATTGTAAAGATGAGGGATGTTATCGAAGTATGAAACCAGGATGTGCTCTTCACCACATCTCCTCTTCCTCCTCCACGCAGGTAAACGCAGGTTCAACATCAAGCTGTGGAAGACCTTCACCGACTGCTTCAACTGCCTGCCCATTGCCGCCATCGTGGACGAGAAGATCTTCTGCTGCCACGGAGGTAGGTGTGTGCGCGCAGACCCAGCCGATTGCCCGTTTTGTCCGGGGAGGCTCTGTGTAGCTCAAGCTGGTGAACGTGAGGTCGGTGCAGAGCCGCCGGTCCTCTCCTGTCAGGGTGTTGCCTGATGAGTGCGACAGAGAGTTCCTGCGATACTTCAGATTGACGGATCTGATGTGAAGGAAATGGGTCACAATGAATTTATGGCTCTACGCAGAGCGAATGACTTCTGTGTCGTCCACAGGCCTCTCTCCTGACCTGCAGTCCATGGAGCAGATCAGACGCATCATGAGACCCACAGACGTGCCCGACACAGGTAAGTCAGCGCACACACACACACACACACACCAACGTAAGCTGATGGATGAGGTTGTGAATAATGACAACGCTTGCACTAGCTGAAATTTAAATTGTGATTAACATTATTTCATCTACAGTCTGATATGTAATTTTATATGGTCAGTATGAAATAACCACAAGGTTTTAAAGACTGTTGGGCCAATTTATTACTTGAGATTTTTGAGTTGGTTTCCACTTGTTATTTTCGTATCCTAATCAAAAAAGGATGTCCTATTTGGACGGTCCTTCAACCACACTCTGTCGCATTCAGGGTTTTAGTTCATCTAAGTTTAGGATGTGTAGCCTTCTTTTTGTTTCCAATTAAATCTTCTCGGTAAATCAACAAAATATCGCCAAATGGAAAAAAAAACTTCCATGTCTCCCACACGGTGAATCACACGGTGTACCTTGTAGTCGGGTGGGGTGGGGGGGTGCTGAAGGTACATCCTCTCAGCTCATGGTCCAAGCTAACCTGAGCTGGTACTTTTTCAGCACAGGAAATCCGCCCTCACTGAGCTTCGGTCCCCTTTTAGCCGGAGCAGTGCAAGCTTTCTATCTGAACCTAGGAAGCGTCGGGCACATCTGATATTGCGTGAGAGAAAAGCTGCACATCATGTCATCGTTTATGACGACTAGGTTATTAAAAGATGCTGTCTCCTTTCCTCACCCGGTGGTGTGTTCCTTCTAAACCAGTGGAGTCTTCACTAAACCGGTGGCTTCTTGTCCTTATAAGGCCGCCAGTGTGGAGGCCCCAGCAGATGCCGTTTCTCAGGTCCTCTTATGGTCTTTCAGGGAGAACTTGTGTCCGGAGAGCGAGGCAATGTGTGTAGACACTTTTCAATGCGCGGCACACTGTAAATGTGACACAGGCGACTTGATTCACCGCAGAGCCCATTGTTTTTAACGCAGGGCCACAGCGTGGAGGTACCAATAATTATTCAGTTCATCTTCTTCCCTGCAGGCCTCCTGTGTGACCTGCTGTGGTCTGACCCCGACAAAGACGTCCAGGGCTGGGGGGAAAACGACCGCGGCGTCTCCTTCACCTTTGGAGCCGATGTGGTCAGCAAGTTCCTCAACCGCCACGATCTGGACCTCATCTGCAGAGCCCACCAGGTACACCCCCCCCTCTCTCAGCCGGGCACCACTCAAAGACCTCCTGGAAACATACACTCCTGTTTGTTAAAAGGCAAACAAGTGCAGTTTGCTGCCGCGTCTCTTTTTGAAAGCATCCCCCCCTCTGACTCTCAGTGCTGTGTCTCACGCCCCCAGGTGGTGGAAGACGGTTACGAGTTCTTCGCCAAGCGACAGCTGGTAACTCTGTTCTCTGCTCCCAACTACTGCGGCGAGTTCGACAACGCCGGCGGCATGATGAGCGTGGATGAGACCCTGATGTGCTCCTTCCAGGTGGGACACAAGAGCACAACAGTGATCATGCAATGAAAGTCCTCATGCACAAAGCACCGCTGATCTGTTTGTGTATAGATATGTCTCAAGATGTCTTCTGAAGTGCTTGATGAAACAGGATGGGACACAAGTCCAAACCTGGGTCCTTTTCTATGACATCATCACACAACAGTGTGTAATTGTGTATCACATCCTCCTTTTCTGCTCCTAGATCCTGAAACCATCTGAGAAGAAAGCCAAGTACCAGTATGGAGGGATGAACTCTGGTCGGCCCACCACTCCTCCCCGCACAGCCCAGCCCCCCAAGAAGCGATGAGGACGGCGGAGTGAGGAGGAGACCCTTTTCCAACATGGTGGCTTCTTCTGTGACACAAAATAAGTGGAAGCAGCACGTGGCAGAGAGGAAACAGACAAACAAAACTAATGTTCCATTCCTGTTTTCTCTCCTTCTGAACTGCTGTCCCACTCTTTTCTTCATCTTCCTCCTCCAATGATTGTTTTTTCCTCTCCATTTGTGTAACATTTTTAAAAACAAGTGTTAAAACTTAAGCGTGGCGTTCTGTAGCATATCGGAGTGCTTTTTTGTCCTTTTTGCTTTTTATTTTCTAGATAACAGAATGACGACTAGTTTAATTTACCACATCTCCTTACTCCCCCGCCTGTACAGACACCACTGGGTTTTCAATAAATACAGGAAATGACTGTGTGGTTCCTTAAGTTCAACAAAAGCATTACATCTTGAGTTGCAGCAAGATATTGTTTTATGGGAACACGGTGAACTTTAAACACCAAATATACTCAGTTTAACCTTGAGTGGACATTTAGAAGAAAGACAAGGCCCAGAGTCTGCAACAGCTCGTTGGTTTGTGGACTTCTTCCATCGCCACTGTAAGAGCCATTTTGTTATTGTTGACGTCCCACCACTAAGCGGCGTAGGGCCACTGTCAATGAGGCAGCAAGATCAGTTTTTGTAAAGCCTGTGTTTGTATGAAAATGGATAGCATGATTAAATATTAAATAAACAAAGCAGTGTTTGGCGCTCAGGGCGCCGCTCTCCATTATTCTAAAAATAAAAAACAGTTAAGTCCCCAAAATCGATAATTTCTTAAGACACCAGCGAGCTCAAAGCATCCATTTATTGACATTCAGATTTACAGCGATGCATTGTGTACAAGCAAAGGCATGAACTCCCTTTTCCTGATGGGGGGGCGCAGCAGTGTCGGTCCGCTGCGAGTGAGCCCAGAATGGGTCTCACTGTATCCCACCACAGAAGCAACAGCAGCCTGACACAAAGCTCTGAAGTTTTGCTGCACCCACAGTCTGGACACGGCAAAAACGCTTCACAGCAGGTTCATCAGCATCATCATTGTACAGCAGCTATGCACCGCGAGAACCACCTAGAACCCACGACCTTTAAAACAGCAGCTGTAGAAGTAGAGGAAATGGGAATCCCCATCACTGGTGCGGCATCAACATGCTGTAGGAAATAAGTCTGCTGTAAACCATTAAGTAAAATAATAAATTAAAAAATGGTCCGGTTCCCATTGAAAAATCCCTGCTTGATGCACAAAACAAGTCCTGTTGAAAAGGAGTTCTCAATGTTTGCCATCGCTCCCTTCATTAGGACTCCACCAGCTGTAACCTCACGCTTCCTTTGTTCAGTAGAACCTGTGAATCGCTGCGTTGACAGATTCACGCCTGTAAATAAACACTAAGCAAAGAAAACCGATCCAAAAGTTAATTGGTGCTGGGCAACGAGTCCCTTCCAATACAAAGAGAAAAACAAAACACATGCGATTTAAACATGGAACACTGTTAGAAATGCCTTGTAAAAAGTATTTAATAAAAGTTAAATGGAAAATAAAAGGACTATTTCCACTTTATGGCTTAAAACTACATCTAGTGTCCTCGGGAGACGTTTGAAGGCTTAAATCTACTTGTACTGAGAAAAGTTACATCCCGGCTTCATGTCAATAGAAGAGCGTGGTGATGGTCACATGACCTGGCTCTGCAGATGTGAAAGTGTCAGGAGGATATCGTATGAGCGCAGGCTGCTCTGAAAGGCCCTGCTGTGGACGCGCTGTGATACACTGCACTGGATCAGCCTTTTCCTCTTTGTGTGCGCATTTGTTCCAGAAGGAAATAAAAGTACGTGAAGCTCTGAGGAGCTCCCGTCTTCTGACCAGTAGGTGGCATAAGGAGCCGCGATGCTGGAGAGACACAAGTGATGCTGCAGCTTTGCATCTTCAAACCAGAGAAGTCCACACAATGTATCAATTAAGTGGACTGAATTGAAAGACACAAAACCCCTCCAAACATTTTTGTCTCTTGGTGACTTTGTGGTGGTTCTCACTCTCTCTATAGTCCTTTCTATTCTTTGTTGTGGTCATTTAAAGTCTCTTTGCACGGTCTCTATATTCATTTGACTTTCCAACAAGAAATGATTATTTGGCTCCTTCAGTATACATAAATGCCCATGAACCAGGTCTTTAACCCTTTTTTGTTCTACATATGTAACAGCCATTTCATTAGAAAATACAAAACAAACCTAAGAAAAATACATTCAGATACCTAATGTAAATCATATCATAAATATAATAATTCAAGCCATCAATCAGATAAAAGAAGTGCATCATAATGCACAAAACATCTAAAAACTAAAACAAATACATCTAAAAATGAAGAATCATTAAGTCAACATAAAAAAAATCCCAAAGAAACATTTGGATTCATTCAGAGCAAAAACAGTATTTTCCGCCCATTTCCTCTGGAAGAGGAAACGTCAGCAGTCAATAACGGACAACAGCACTTCAGGAGGCCCGTTTTTACAGCATTACCGAGGTGCTGCACTTCCATCACACATATGCACACGCGCACACACACACACACACTAGACCAGGGCCCGCAGAGGGAAGGACAAGGCGGCTCCTAAGGACAGGCCCAGGGCTAAGAAGAACGTCATCAGGGCCCCCGCTGTCTCTGCATCCTTCTGCTCCACCAATCTGAGGAGAGAAAGAAAAAAAAATAGTACGGTCCTTTTTAACAGCACAGTAGCAGTATTTCTAGTGAATCTCAATTTAAACAACAATGTAGGCAAATATTAAATCAAAACTATTTGCCATTGCTCGTTGTATCTAGTTAACATTTATAATAAAGAAACATTTTAAACAGGTACCAGCATAAGCGTTTTTTCCTTTTATCGTGGATCAGCATAAACAGTCTATCCATCAATCAATAATCTATGTTGAGTACCAAGTGTTTTTCCGACGTATTGCTAACAAAGACGCTATTACAGTGGCGCGGCTGTCCTCGTGAAGTGACGGATGCAGGTAGCAGCAGTGGTGGACTCACTGCGGTGCGTAGGACATGGACAGACATACGAAGTAGCCACTGGACAGAGCGAAGAGAGCCATGACGACGGTGAAAACGGCATCATGGTGGAAGACGACGGGGAGGAAGGAGCGACTCTGGACGTTACAGAACATCAGCAGGGGGACGAAGACCACACGGGAGATCACGAGCGCCGGGAACAGGCGGGACTCTTTGCGAGGCTGCACAGGGGACGGGGGGAGATTCAGGAAAAGGAGGGAAACAAATCCCCAAAAAGTCCAGTGAGAAGCGGATTTATTAACAACAACAACAAAGTAGAAGCGGGGAAGTAGCCACTGGCGAGCCCACGGCAGCGACTACAACTGACTGATTATACAGTTAAGCCTTTAATATCAGATTATATTTAGAACTAATACATGACGTGGATACAGAACATTTCCGCAGTAATTCCATTTAGGAGTCAGTTTAAGGTCTTGTTCATCACCTACAGCAGGGATTCCCAAATAAAATAAATACACTTCGGGTTCTCCTTTTACATACACACTGGCTGACGTTAGCCCAGTTTGTGCAGCTAACGTCAGCTAACCTTTTCCTCGTCCTTCTTATTGCCCCTTTAAAGTGTTTTTTATTGAAACTTTGTTTCAGGGTATTTATGTAGTTTTTTTTCTTTGTCCTGATGCAGAATTAATATGATACAATGTTGCAGTTGCCCCTTTGTTTTGTCTGTCTTTTTCTTTTTACGTCTGGGGGGGTTGGGGGTGCATGAACCCAGTTGGGATGTAGAAGGAGGTACGTGGCCTAAAAGGTTTGGGAACCGCTGACCTACAGGATGTAAGCTGTGTGGCTCTCCAGCTGAACGACTGGGAAGGCGTAGGAGGATTATTATGCTACAGGGGGAGGGAAAGTACGAAGCTGCTGTGCAGTCATGTGAGATGGACAGGGACAATAATGTGCATGATAAATAAACTTATACAAAGAATAAACACATACGCACCCAACGTATCAAGGTAGTGACGGTCCGACCGAACCAGTCGTTGACGTTGAACACCAGGAAGCAGCACACAGAGATAAAGTAGCGGTCTGAAGAGAGAACGGACAGAGGTCCTGATAACAACAAAATCTGATAAACTAATAAAGCTCTGACGTGTATAGTTAAAAAATAAGGTCAGATGGGGTTTTCCTCTAGAATCCTCCCTTATATAATCCAAAGGTTGTCGTTTATAACGTGAGACTTCAAAAGCCCACCTCGTAGGGCCGAGGACCTTCAGCGGCAGGACCGACCAAGCAGAGAGATCTGACCCTTCTAGTTTTATGCGCCAACATTCCCGAGGGTGACCGACGCATCCCATTGTTCATAAGCTACTTAAAAGAAATTCCAATTCATTCTTAAATCAACTGATCACATTTCCTTCAGTGATTTTTATCGACCAGTTTGGTACCAGATTTGAGATAGCACAGCCCTTTCAATACAAAATACTACTATTAAGGTCACGCAGCCAGACATTCCAAACGTAATTTAGTATTATTTATCAAGACTTCTACAAGCAGAAAGAGATCAGAGGAAATCAGGGATTTGACACTCGCACACATGTATGTATACTGGCAGTATGCTGATCTAATCTTTAACGGAGTCATGGTCGTACCCCAACTTCCTGGAAATGAGGTCCTGACATCTGCAGTGACAGCAGGGAAGACGGACAGAGTGACGGTGAAGACAAAGGTCACACAGAACGCCATCACCCAGATCTAATGAAAGAAAAGACAAGACTTTAGAAAAATTATTCACTTTTCCTGGGAATGAAATGCTCTTATTTTGAAGTGGTGTTGCATGAGCTACTTGTCCGTGGTCAGTGCATTACAGCAGATGGAGCTAGGAGTGCCAGCACGGGAGCAGGAGAGTCTGTACAGCAGCAGGAAATGCAGTCTACGGCCTTTCTGGCATTTTTACACTTAGCAAAGTCATCCGCCGGGCCGCGCTGGACCCCCCCTGCTTTAAAGGGTTCTTCCACCAAGGCACAGAGTGACACAAACTGACCATCGAGGCAGAACCACAATAACCAGTCCCACACCTTTTTGAAGACCTCAAGGACCGAGGCCTTAGCTTGTCCCTTCTCGACCTGCTCCAAGGACAGAAAGGCCCTCTTTGGGCCCTCTGGACCGGGGTCCACCTCGGCCTCCGCTACTACATCCCCCTTGGTTGGGCTGCTGGTTACTGAGCCGTTGGAGTGTCCGTTCGGCTTGCTGTTCTCCACCATGCTGCTCTCTGAAATCAAACAGATGACCCCAAACAACAGTTTGAGCTGGTTTGGGTCTCTTTGAGTCCAACAGACGGTCTTTGGCGGATTGGATAAATAGAAGGTCAAGTCCATTAGCGCTGCACTGGATAGATTTGACACACCCAGACAGTGAAGGGCGGAGCCGACAGATGCCCCTCCTTGCCCCACCCAACTGAGAATACATTATTCACTGTGGTGCCAACTTGGGAGACGGATGACAGTAATTCAGAGGGTGTGAAAAAGTCTCACCTTTCAGCAACTCGTCCGTGGTGCCCGCCTCATACTGGTGCCTTTTGTCCAGATAGTACTGAGCAAACTCCTGTGTGGAAAAAAACCCCGAAAACACTAATTAGACTTGCAGCTCAACACCAGTGAAAAGATAAAACAGGATTTGTGCAGCTGGGTTAATAACTCTAGATTAGGCTAGATTGAGATGGAGTTTAGAAAAGTACAAATGAAATAAAGCAAACAGCATCTTAAAAAGCCAGGTTTTGTTTAGAGATGATAGCAGTTTAGCATGATGGGTAATGTAGTGCTGACTGACCAGGCGGGGCAGCAGCAGGTAGCTTAAGAGCGTGATCAGCGTCCCCACACATGGCGTGATGAAGTAACCCAGCGCTGCGGTCTCGGAGTCTGTGCCACCTGAGTGACAAACACACGAGTTAGATCACTGCAGCAGAGAGAGAAGTCCATTCCACGCAGGAGCCGGGTCCTTCAAACGTAAACAGTGTTCTTTGTGGCCTAATGCAGATTTTACTAGCTCGACAACTGCTTTGAATGTCCTCTTATAACCAGGCAACCAGGGATTCGGCACCAGCTGGCTGTTTTGTGTGCGTCTGGGTGGCTCACTCGCTATGGCAAGCAGCATGGCGATGGCCGCGAAGGTCCCGGCGAGGCCCTGGCCGCTCATGAAGATGGCGCTGAATTTCTGGGGGAGAAGACCCACCAGGCCGAAAAGACTGCCCTGCAGCACGGCGCCGAACGCTGGGGAGGAGACGCACCATTTAGTCCCACACTGTTGAAAGGGTCAGCTCGGCTCTGTTTCGAAGGAGAGGTGCATGAGACTCCGTACCCATAGGCAGTGTGTTACCTAGAGTAGATGAAGCTCTCAAGGGCTGTCAGACAGCAAATGTAAAGCACTGAAAATAACTGTAATCTGTAGCTCACACAGCAGATTTAGATGTTTGCAATCCCCTCTGTTGCGGCTCCCACGTGTGCCTCTCTAAACTCCACCATACACAGACTGTGGAGGTCTGCTCACACAACAAAAATGCACATACATGTCACACTGACTTACAGTTGATGAACCAGATGGTTGCCATGGTGACAGAGAAGAAGCGGTCTTCGTCCATGGGCACTTTGATCAGCACCGTTGTGAGGATGAAGAGCAGCAGGATGAAAACCAGACTACCTGCGATGCGCACGGTCTCCGATACCCTGAAACAAGAATCTTTTTTTAACAAAGAAAGACAAATAATTCGGCACGAGACAAGGTCATACATGCAAATTTGTAATGTTGCAAAGTCTAGAGCACCTGCACAACATTAATTCAATAAATGGCTTTTGGGGGAAATTGACATCCACGTGGGGCGGGAAAAACCCCGATGTGACAGCGAGTAAACGTCCCACTGACCTGTGGTAGAGGAAGGAGTTGAGCAGGGTGAACACCAGCAGGGGCAGCTGGGACAGCAGGGTCATCCAGTTGTTGAAGTAGTACTCCGTGCGGACCACCGCAGTGCCGTTGCTCCATTCGGTTGTATTTAGGCGACCCTGGAAATACTGCAGACCCGGAGGAAACGGGACAGATGTCGGCTTTATCTCTTTCCATGGAATCATGTTCCACGTTTACCAACAATGGGGGCAAATTCCCGTTTCAGCATCTTCTTAGTGCCTCATTAATTTGGAATTGGTTTGTTCCCCCGACGGAGCCGTTTACGTTGGTGAACTCAGAATCCGTGTGTCATAAAATCAGAAACGTCTGCTTTTGTATTCTGATCATTACATCATTTTAAAGCTGTACTTGTCATTTCTTTGTGTCAACAGCAATTCAAACTCTCAAAGACTTTTGTCTCAGTGGCATAAAATCAGGGATGCAAACACATGTATCGTCAGAAAAGAAGCCCTCGCCCCGCGGCAAATATCAGAGTTTTTGTTTTTTTAGCGTGAGAAATTGGATGTGTGGCGGGAGTGCGTGACTAAAGACCGAAATGAGTGACTGTCACGCTCAATGCGCGACACTTGACCCTTCACACAAGTCACCAAAACGGACGTGAAAAAAGCGGGAGGCGCCAAAAAACGCCCTGTTTGCATCCCTGAAAATGGTCTGTAGATTGCAATATCGTTTATCGCAAATAACGTTGGTGCAATAATCGCACAACACAAATTTGATATAGTGACGGCCCTACTTATGGTCATTACTATAGTTTTTCTAGACACGTCCTTGAATTGTATAAACAGCTTATGGTCCATTACACCATTGGCATCCATCCAGCATGTGATACTTTAAGAGGTTTAAGGAAACCAGACCTACGGTTTCCTCGCCGTCACTTCAGAGAGGCTTTTAGGCAGGAGATGCAACAAACTTGATGATGATAATGATTCTCAGGAAATCGAATATGAAAGCAGAAGGAATATGCAATGCGTGAGTTTGGTCTTTGACGGACAAAGTAATTGCCATGTTTTTACCAATAGGGCCGTCATGAAGAAGTTCCATGGCAGCAACGTGCCCAGGCCCAGAATGAAGAAACAGATCCCCACCAGGCAGCCCCTGTGGACGGGAAGCAAAGGCTGTTAGAACAAACAGCGCCGGCCTCCTGCCTGCGTTTACAGCCCTTTCCCCAGAGTGGATCTAAAGTGCTGATTATTCTTTTTTCGCGAGGCATCCCAACGTGAGAAGACCGGGACGGTTTTATTTAATATATGTGGGTCCTGCTGCTGCTCCAAATCCTTTCCAGCATCTTTGCGGGATGACAGTGGAAGGAATAACCCACACTGTACTTTTTGTTTCGCTGAAGCCTGACATTGACCTTACATTGTGCTGTGTTTTTGTTCCTCTTTTTCCGCTTCTCGAAACGAAGGCTAAATGACAGCGGTTTTCTTTTTTTTTCATCCCTATATGCATATTTTTCATTGAGCAACAGAAAGTGATCACGCTATGTTACTCTAGAGGTCCTCTCAGAACTTTTAGCAGTCCCTGTGGAAATAGATTTTCGAGCACCGCTCAGCGCTAATCCTAACATCAGCAAGTTTATTTCTTCCTATTTTTAAAGTAACATTCCCAAAGGTCTCATGAATGCAGTTCAATTACTACATCGTCGTCTGAAGAAACGCACAACATGCGTAAAGAGAGAGTTTCTAGTTTCCGTCCGACTGTAACTCACCGGTCCTGAGGAGCATTGGTCCGTTCCTTCATCTTGCTCTATGACGTACTGGTGATACTGCAAAGGCAACAAGACAGACCAAAAGTCAGAGGCGTCTCCACAGTAACGGGGCGAGTAGTTTATTTCCCAGACGTCCTGCTGCCACAGTTTCACTGCTTCACGATGCAGGAATTGGTTTACATTCTGGTGAGAAGCTGACAAACCACATCAAATGTGTGCAAAGGAGTGCTACAGAGGTCGGACACCAGTATGGAGGCTTGGGGCATAAACACTTCAGTATTGGACCCAACTCAAATCTCTAACAGCTTGTAGTCTAATGGGGGTAGGTGTAGAATGTGAGTAATGTGAGAGCATTGACCCACCCAAGTGACCTCGTCAATGTGTGTAGTCAGTCAGTGTAGAGTCCACCCCCTATGCGCAGTCCACACGACTGGAAGGGGCCCCCACAGTAGAGGCTGTTTTGATAGTTTCGACCTGTTGAGCGTTTTGGACCGATAACAGAGGTAGACTCACATCCTACTTTGGGAGGCTGCACAGGATGTGGTTCATACAGTGAAACTAGAAATCCAGCAACCTTTTAGTCTGCAATTAGAGGCGGACGGGCAGATGGCGGGCCAAATAAACTGCGGTTGAATTGATTTCTTCAAACGTGACGTGGAGAGGGTTGGACAGGATATGAGAGGAGCACCCTGGGCTACAATGCTGCTGCAGAGCTCTCCCCCGAGACGCTTTGTTCCTCTGACCACCACGAGAACCGTGTCGTGGTAAAACGCACTTTGCGTCCTTCCCAGCGAGTGCAGTCAGTCAAACTCACGCGGTCCACTTTCTGTGCGTGGGTGACACGGGCGAGGGCCAAGCGCGAACACTGCACGCGAGTCAAAAAGGCCCCCCAGGTACGCCCGCCGTGTCAACAGGCTTCACCTCCCCGAGAGTCGGATGGGAGATGCTGGGAAGTAAAAAAAGCACGACCAGAGGGAGTTGTCTCGAAGCGCCTCTTTGAACTGCATCAGGGCCGAGGGAGACCAGGCCCGCCTACATCAGAGAAGCTTTAGTTGATCCCCGGAGAGGCACCTCATGCCTGCTGGTACACAAACGTTGTCATCGCAACAGATGAACGTGCGCAGCGAAGCACAACCGAGAGAAGTAACTATTATCAAAACAGCAGAGGGGAACTTTCTAGTTCTCTTTCTCTGCAAGTCTTTGTTCGTTAGCTGGAGGGTTTACGGCCAACTGTAAATCATTCTCCTCGCCAATAAGCCACCACTTATACTAATTGAAGAACAAACAACACACTCAGCTGTTTCTAATCAGTAATACAATCAAGGCCTTTTCTTCCCAGTCCCACGTCAAACCACACTACGCGCTACACACGCGCACGTTGTATCACAGCATCCACAGACCAGCGGTCCTCTGCTTTGAGGTTGACAGGGGACAGATAATCTCCTTAAGTAAACCAGTATTGTTTGCGAATCAAAGCTGAAAGAAACCTCTCCGGATTATCGCGAGGTAGCACACAGATGTAAAGACACCATCGTGGGAAATGTAAATCCAAGTGGACGTGATGGAGGGCGGTTGACGTGCACACAACCCCCTCCCCCCCAAAAAAATATGTTTATTTCCTGATATGCGCGGAGTCGCTCGAGTTACCCGCACGCACCTGCTGTGAGGGAACACGCGGGAGCGGTTGCCACCGCAACGCGGGACTCACCTCGAGTAAAATGTGGCTCTTCGTCACTGTATCTTCATTCCCCCGGAATCAACTCCAGCACTTCGTCCTATGTGGAGTGCCCCAAAAACGCATTGGAGTGGACAGTAAATGAATAGCTGGCGTCATGCGCGCACACGTGGCGGGAATCAAAGAAAGGAGCCGTTTTTCCCGACGTCATCCCTTCAAAGCTGCAGCGTTGTTAGGCAGGTTACCCTCGACAGAGTGCTTCCGGTGTCACGTTAAATGCGGTCTCCTCGCTGGGTGGTGATTCATTTGTCGATGGGCGCCCAATCTGCGCTGCGTGTGGTCCGCAGTGACGGCAGGTTTCCCGCTGTGTAGCTGTAGCGGTGTCTGCATCCGTGCAGCCTCCAGCCTCCAGCAGCCTCCGCGGTGGACTCGGCCCGGGTCCTCCAGCCGCATAGGCTGAACCGAGCGGCCTCTGAAATGGGACAGCGTGGCCCGCGGGGGGGACTTCCTGCCCGCGTCATCAGCTTTACCTCCACTGCTCCCGTTGCTTGGCAACCTGCTGCGCTTGACAGTAAAAGCCTTAAAAGCCAAACGAATTACAGTTACAGATAAATAAGATAATCTTATTTCATTTCAGAGAAGAACTTGATTTGGTTATTTTGAATTCAAATTAAATCAGTTAAGCCATGTACTTTCAGCTAAAAGTAATAACCCCCTCTCAAGGCAGAGGTGATTCCATCAATTCTGTCAATAAAAAACACAACAGCAAGCACATTTATTAGTATGCAGGGGCTTCTTTTTTTCTAAAGGATACAAGCTATTTAAATTGAACAATAGGATATTAGAGAATATGTCCAAGCTACAGTGGCCGAATGTCACCACACACACCGTTATCCTGCTGCTTCCTCCTGCTCCATAAAACCCAACTAAACTAAATGTAAAGTTAGTTTATAATCACACAACAAAACAAAAAGGAGCAAATCAAGTTCAGTTTCAGTTTGTGTATTTATTCTGTAACATTGCTAACTTATCTACCTGAGCTCACTTTGAAGCATTTCTGTTCATAATGTGAAGTATAAACTATATATAAAACCGACTTAGGTTCAGTAAGACATTGGTCATTCTCTAATTAGTGAAAAGTCACTTAACTTTAACACTTAAGAACAGGCGGATGCGGGCAGATGAGCTGCCGTTGACAGCACGTTGTGTGTCTGTTATAAATGTGTGTTGGTACATTGACATTCATAAGATCAGAACATGGACTCAGAAGGGGTTCAGGTGAGAGTCTGGGTCAGGGGCTGTATGAGGGGGGAGAGCAGTTTATTCGTGTATTTAAAACACATTGATTACCAACGTCACGTAACGTATTTCATAAACTAAGGTTTTATATATAACATTTCTATCGGTAGATATTGGAGTGAATTATATCACTTAACGTTACATTTAAAAGTGAACTCTTCACCTGCCTCCGTCCTGAGTAAATTAAATCCTCGTCGGCCCGCACGGCATGCTGGGATATGCTGGGCCGCAGAGGATAGATCCGACGCGTCCTCCAAATGAGACCGGCGAGTCGCAGCCAAAGTGACGTATGCGGTTGACGAATGAGTCCTAAAGGATGCAGCCGAGCGACTTCGGGACACCGTTTATGTGCACGTTGCACAGTTTGGCGCCTGTGATTGGTCGGACGGCCATGATGCATTTTTTCTTACCATTATTCCTGTATGCTATTGGGTTTTTAGCTTAATTACAACGCGTATGATCTGTGTTTGCTTGTGTTATGTTAATGTTAATTAATATATCTTACAAATATTCCTCAATCCTCATTTTTCTTTTTTAGTGTAGCCTGTTATTTTGTTATTTTGTCTTTTTTCCTACTTGTTGTAAATTACCTTAATGCCGTCTGACGCTATAAGTACTTTTATTATTAAAATCGATATTAATATTATTATTTTCTTTACTTTTCAAACAGTCTAACATTTCATTTTATTATTCAGCATGATTTGTTTTCCTTTCCCAATCATAGTATGTGTGGCGCGCACACACACACACACACACACACACACACACACACACACACACACATACACACATACACACGCACACACACAGTCAGCATCATGACTTGTTCAAAGCGGCCAGGCAACGCTTCCTCTAGCTGGGTCGACTGTGATGCAGCTCCAAATTATTCACATATTTGATCCCAATGCATCCCTGTTAGAAAGCCCAGACTATTAAAGGAGTTATAAAAGTTATTTTTCATTTACAATAAAACAAGCAATGGAAAAATGACACAGGTTCACGCCACCTGTAACGTCCAATTAGACAATCATGAAAGTGGAGGTTCCTTACTTCCTACTCGCATCTCAGGGACAACATCTCTCCACAGACCGAGATGCATTCGCCTGGCAAAGTCCTAAAATGGTTTTCTGTAGTTGGTCCAGCTACAGGTGAGTTTTGACGACACGTTTAAACATGACGACACACACAAGAATCACCTGGTAAAAACAATACCAGCTTCACCACTGTAGACTGTTAATTTGATCTCATTACAGATATGAATATGTCACCATAGAGGTTAATACATTATTCTACTGTACATGTAATCATAGTAAGCGTAAAGTTCGCCTGTGAAATATGAATGGAGTATTTATACAGGTGCATTAATATAATCATAATGGGAGTGAATGGCCTGCCACACATTTGATTGTATTATGTGACTCAGAATGAATTAGATTATACTAAAGTCATACACAACTCATTAGTGGAGGATAGCATTTGAAAATAACATGGTATTATTGTGCAAGAGCTGTGAATAGAATGCAAGTCAATGGCCTTGCAGTTGAGAATGTAATAAAAAAGGAAAATGTTAAGGTTTCGGAAGCTCTCGAGGGAGGACTCAATCCTTTGTTCTCGTCCCGGCCGGAAACGAGGACACGAATGAGTCAATTCGTTTAAATTCAAAAATCAAAAGTTATTTAATAACTGAACAACGTAATAGGGATTACAATTACAAAGTGAAATACTAAGCGAACAGTGGAATATTTCGCGAAATAGAGAATCCTCTGAGCAAGTCTGAAGTGACTTATCAACGCGGCTGCAGGAGAAGTTCTAACAGTCTTTTCCCCGCCATGGTCCTTTGAAAACTCTTGAGGTGTGTCTTCCTTGGTGCATTTGAATGTCATTGGCCTCTTCTCCAAAGGGTCACCTCCTCCATTTTCCCCTTCACGTCGAGGTGTGAAGCTGCAGCTGTAACCTGAAACCTCTCTGTCCTAGCTGTCCCTCACATTCCAATGCACTCAATGTAGATACATTCGGCTTTATGCCTCAAAGAGTGAATTTAACAAAGCATACATCGTTTTAGTCTTCATCTTGTAACTAGTACACTTTCATTACAACAACCCATCATTAATGATCACCGTTCATCACACTTCATCATAAGATCTAAAACAGTTCATGTGGTTCAATTCTCAAGACATTTGCCTCAGTCGGCTGCCTTACATGAAGTTGTTCATTTTATTACCTGACAGGAGAAAAAACTCCCAGAAAACCCTCTTTGGGGAAAAATTGGAAGAAATCCATAAAGAACGGCAATTGGCATCCGTCCCCAGGTTTTAACATCACATTGTGACAGAATGTTAATGTGTACAGTGTTCATATGATTTAAATGACTATGAATTGTGTTTGATTGAAATTGCATTCACTTCATCTAACATGTTAATGTAATAACTAATATCTAATAACACACAAAATATAATTCTAACACTAAACATCATTACACGTACTACAAATTCTATGACTAGGGGTGCACTTCTGGCTTAAATCCCCAACAAAATGAATCCAACCCCCTCCACAGAATCACACACAATTGTATGTGTGAGATTCCATGTCACATCACACTATATGTGATATGTCATTGAATCGCATATGGCATACCTTTTTCTTTTCTATCCATTACAATTCAGAATTTAAGAATTTAACTAAGAGCTGACGGACCGAAGGTGGTGATGAAGTGTCGTCAGAAGGTATCACCCTGGTGAATACGTTGGTTGTGTTTCTGTAAACCAGACCTCAGGGTTCTGTGAACGTGTGAACACACTCAGCAGTTTGTGGTTTAGAGCTGTCAGAGGTCTTCCTGTTTTCAGCTCGAAGCAGTGCACAAGCTCATCTGTGTTTTGTAGACCATAAAGAGAATGACCGCATGAAGCAGACTTGCTGTTTCACAAAAACCCCCTCTCTAAAGCCAAACTGTCCTGTAGATAAGTCTGAACCAACCTCCATGGACGTCTCACACCCTTGCATGCTTATTCTTGTGAGGTTTCTATATTTACATTTATCTTCAAATATCTCTGATGGTCAACCTGAAAATGAGGATGAGTCCTGGCGTACATTGTTGTGTGTGTGTATACGTGTGTGTGTGGGAGTGTGCGTACGTGTGCTTGTGTGTGTGTGATGTGAGGGAGATTTCTGTAAGATTGCTGTAAGGAGATGAGTGTCAGTTGTCAGCAGTGAATCAGAGAGTGAAGATGAAGCTTCTACTGAGCAGTCTGCTACTCGCCTCCTTCTGTGCTCTCTCATCTTGGAGTGAGTAACAAACACAGAGTAACCTTTGTTTTATAGAAGTATGAAGGGAAAATGTTTGCTGAAGATATCAAAAGTACAGCAGCCTTTTTATGATGACTGTTTATTTAGATGTACAATCTTGCAAATAACAGTAGACGTTAAACCAACTCGTGTCAACTGTTTGATGCTGTTTAAATTTGCCAGAAAAAATAAAGTGACCACTATTCTTTAATTGTTGTTGTGACATTACCGCTTTACTCGGTGGTTGACTTGCACAAAAATCGGATTAAATTAGTGGGATTTATTTCAGCGCGGATCCGGATTTTGGTGAAAAGATGAATTTACTTTTCGTTCGACTTCTGAAGCAACGTGATGTTTGTGGTGTTATGATGAAGAGCCAAATGATGGATCACCTCGTCTCTTCACAGGTGTTTCATCTGCAGGTGAACCTGCTGTTAGCCAGACCCCTGATGTCTCTGTGGTGGAGGGCGAGACGGCAGAGATCAGCTGCTGCTGGACACTAGAGTATCAAAAACTGAGAGTTACATGGCTGAAAAATCACACAGAAATAAAGAGTAAGATGATCTTCAAGAATTCCTCTCATGGATCACTGTCAGATAAGACCTCTTACTGCTCACACTTGACATTGATGAATGTCGCAAGAGACGATTCAGGGAGATACATCTGCGAGGTGACAGTGGAAATACCCAATCTCAACAAGGCTCAAGGAGTTGGTACCGTCCTCACAGTTACGGCCAAGGACAACACAACAGGTACGGAGGATTGTAGGTCACTGCTGCCCCATAAGGTACTGTATGTCTGCCCTGCTGTATACGTATTTGCCTCTGTGTTTCAGGTTCTCACTGGGAAGAAGTGCCCGTTTATGTCCTGAGGAGCCTGCCCCTCCTTGCCCTCATCCTCGCAGTGTTGTTCATCACCTTTTTAGTGAGGAAAGCTCAGCAACAAACACCAGGTACTACACAGCTCCCACTCCGTTGTGGTGAAAACGGTGTCTGGATCATACGCAACATCAGCAGCGTACATTTTACACTACATTAAGAATAATGGATGAATAAAATTCCCGAAAATTCTATTTCAGCTGCACCACAAAATCAACACACGCCGGCTCGAAGATGAAAAGAAGACCAAGAGGAAGAGGGAAGAGATGATATGGAGATGGAAGGAGAGTGAAAAGAAAAATCATTTATGATTAAGACAAATTAAATGTAATAAATGTGGAACGTTTCTCTTTGTGTTTCCTTTCAAGCAGCTGTGTTCCTGAAACATGCATTAAAACCAATGGCAAACAGGTTTCAGGACCAGATTTTAGAAATAAGCCCGAAACACCTTGCTATACAAATACAGAACTTCAGTAATGTGTTGAGATCCCTGGGGTCTAAAAGACATGTTTTATTGTGATTACTGTGTGTTGTGTTATGTCATGTGTTTCCCCCCGAATTCTGTTTTGAAAAAGGAAAATCCATTTTTGTTTTTGCAACTTGGGGTTCTGTTTCAAGTAGGTTTAACAAACTGAGTTGATCTACCCTGAGATGGGAAACTTTTGGGGTTTCAGAACAGCTGTTTAGAGTTGGTTCAATCAACTAGAGTAGGTTGACTCAGAGTTGAGCGCGTGCACCACCACAGTATGAATGGAGCGATGATACGAGTCACCATGGTGCAGCAGAAGGGAGCTTTTTACTGAAGCCTCCTGCCCGTAACTATCAAGCACCTGCCAGCCAATCACGGGAGAGGGTCTCCCATAAATACGGTGGGGATTGCCGGGGCTTCAATTTGACGTCAAGCAAAGAGTTGGAGCACGTCAGGTGCAAACCATCTGACTGGGTCCCCTCGTACTGCAAGAGCGTCCTGCCCGCGGGCTTTGTGGGAGAGTTGCGTGTAACTCCGGTTTATTGTAATATGGGGTCACATTAACAACCGCGATTTGTGACGTAGCAGCTTTGTTGGCTTCAGTTGTGTTCCAAATGAAACGCCGGACGGACAGAGGGCATTGCAGATCGAAAGGTTAAAATCAAATGTATTTAATAAAATATGGGCTTATGGTAAAAACCATATCCGATGAGCCCCTGGTCTCTGCAACCAACAGGCCCCAGGTCAGTCCATTGACCCCCCCCCCCCATAATGCCAGTCTGCTCCCTCCGCCAGCGAACTCGAGAACAATGGTTGCCTACGAGTATTTATACCGATCCGTAAAGGTGTGAAAGTTAGTGTCCACACCTCTGGGAGTGGTTTTCTGGTGAGTTCAATGTAAATGATTTCAAATGACCCTCAGTCAATATCAGTTGTTGTGCAAGTATTACATGCATGCATTCCAGTTGATTACATTAAATACAATCATAATTGCATTGATGTTATTCAATTAGTTTTAATATTAGTGGTTTTACTATAGTCTTTACTTTATTAATTAGTTTCAGAATCATGGCTGTATTCTGGTGTACACTAAACTCTTTATCAATTTATGAACCGGATCGTCAGTTTATTTCTAATATCCTACACTTCCCACAGCCTTCGGGAGCAGATGACTACTGCCTGATCGGTGGGTACGTTCTTTTCACGAGTCAGTCATTGACGTGTTCACCCCATTAATTGTAAATTATCGTCGACCGCAGGGGACTGCTAGCGGGATTAAGGAGGAACGCTGCAGTTTTGCCTTCCGTCAATCGTCCCACCTAAACACGGCACTACCATCGATTGACGCGGTTTTGCATCAGACGCCGTCCTGGGGTCGGTTTCAAGTAGAAGGTTTAACCAACTCCGAGTCAAGCCCTAAACCTTGAGTTGATTTACCCTGATATAGGAAACTCTGCGTTTTGGGTTTCAGAACAGCGGTTTTGAGTTGGTTCAATCAACTCAGTAGGTTGACTGAGTTGAGCACCACCACAGTATGAAGGCAGCATTAATGGAGCCATGATACCACGAGTTACCATGGCAACAACCACAAACAATCTGTATGCTTAATCCCTATTGAGCTGTGAATATTAATGCAAGCGTACGACGAGTATGAACCCGCAATTAGAAAAACCGACAAACTGCGTGGGAGAAAATTGCTGCAAGTTCCAATATAGTGTTGTCAGTGTAGCGACACGAGGCGTGATGTATGGGTGAGGGCAGTTTAAATATTCTAATGTTGCCAGACAACGCCACCCTGGGAATAGTTTTAAATATGCTCAACCCAGCAAAGAAAAAGGGGAGGCACTCCGGTTCGTCGCAAATGAGGCAGAGACGCAATTTACAGTACAAAATGTAATTTTATTCAAATCAATTTGCTGTTTAAAAACAACGATAAAATCCTCAATCTCACCATGTGAGAGCATGTCCACGATGGGGGACGTTAGTTATTTAAGGACGGATGAGGTTATGTACATATTTGATGGACTGTGAAGAAAAACAATAGCGTTCAAACAAGCAGTTATCTGGAAATGACAATGTATCTAACGGGGCCTCACTATTCTCTCCCGACATGATTAACAACCTGCAAAGTAAAACCGCTTCTTCATCAACAGGATCGTCCAGAAAAGGACGTGCCATGTTCAAGAAAACACTTTAACGTAACAGATCTTATTTTGTTCATATGTGGAAACTGCCCTTGAATCCGCCTGACAGAGTACTTGAATGAATGAGGAAATGAAAGCGTGCTGTGTGATTGGCTGTGCTGCGTTCAGAGGGAGGAGACTGTGAAAGAAACTCGAGGTTTATTGAAGAAAACCTGCTCCCGACTAGGTGATGTCCACAGGCTCAGTTACCATGGTGACTGACCCTGAGCTTTAGTTACCTCCCTTTGTGAAACAGACAAGCCAGAGTTTCCCTCATCTCAGGTTAACAAACTCCACTGAGTTTCCACTAAAGCCGCTTCTTAAAACAGACCCCTGCGGTTGAGTCAGTGAGAAAGCTTAACACAATGTGAAGAAACAATTCAGGATTTGGTCTGTAGGTGGACCTAAAGTAAAACTAGAGGCCCTCTATGAAGAGTCATGGCACTTAGAGGACCTCTAGTGCTGATCACTATGACACACAACCATTCATGACCCGTGGACACGGATGAATGGTACGGACCGTTACAGTAGAAACAGCTAAACAGCACCAGTTTGCCTCATTTACATTGTAAACAAGAACTCACACGACCAGAGTGATGTTCACATGGGTTGGTAACCAAGGAAAAAATACTATCCATTACACATTTTCAAATGCACCGATGCTGGTGTTTAACTTGCTCTGCAGACACTAAAATATAGCAGGGGAACTTGGGAGGAAGTTTAAGAATAGAAATGTAGTCGGGGCCAAACGTGTGTGCTTGTGGTTTGAATACAGGGCGGCACAAAACTAACCTTGCAGTCACGTTGACTTTGAAATCCCATAAAAGTTATTTTTATGGAATTCAGAGCATTAATATATCAGAAAGAAACGATTTTCTTAGTGAAGCGAGAAGATAGATGTGATCACTCCGTCCTGAGCGGTGGCCTCCAGTTCCCCCTCAGTTCAACACTGTCAGCTTTTTTTGCACTTGTCTTTTACACTGTTGGCATGGTTGACAACGGCAGCTTCTAGCCACCGTTCTCTTGTCTGTTTGCGGCCTGTTTCAGTTCTTCTGTGCGAGTAAAATAGACTTTTATCAATTGTGATCATCTTTCGCAGAACCAATCGCTGCTTCATATGTGAAAGAGGAAGGTCACACCCGACAGCGACGCTTTTTTCACACCAAAGTACAGAGGAAAGCGGTAAAAAGAATGATGTCCGGTGTGTGTGTGTGTGTGTGTGTGTGTGCCTGCCTGCGTGTGTGTGTGTGTGGTGGGAAGGACTCAGAGCTGCTGTAAGGAGATGAGTGTCAGTTGTCAGCAGTGAATCAGAGAGTGAAGATGAAGCTTCTACTGAGCAGTCTGCTACTCGCCTCCTTCTGTGCTCTCTCATCTTGGAGTGAGTAACAAACACAGAGTAACCTTTGTTTTATAGAAGTATGAAGGGAAAATGTTTGCTGAAGATATCAAAAGTACAGCAGCCTTTTTATGATGACTGTTTATTTAGATGTACAATCTTGCAAATAACAGTAGACGTTAAACCAACTCGTGTCAACTGTTTGATGCTGTTTAAATTTGTAATCAAAAGGGAATTTGTCAGAAAAAATAAAGTGACCACTATTCTTTTATTGTTGTTGTGACATTACCGCTTTACTCAGTGGTTGACTTGCACAAAAATTGGATTAAATTAGTGGGATTTATTTCAGCACGGATCTGGATTTTGGTGAAAAGACGAATTTACTTTTCGTTCGGCTTCTGAAGCAACGTGATGTTTGTGGTGTTATGATGAAGAGCCAAATGATGGATCACCTCGTCGTCTCTTCACAGGTGTTTCATCTGCAGGTGAACCTGCTGTTAGCCAGACCCCTGATGTCTCTGTGGTGGAGGGCGAGACGGCAGAGATCAGCTGCTGCTGGACACTAAAGTATCAAAGCGTGAGAGTTAAATGGCTGAAAAATCACACAGAAATAAAGAGTAAGATGATGATCTTCAAGAATTTCTCTCATGGATCACTGTCAGATAAGACCTCTAACTGCTCACACTTGACATTGATGAATGTCGCAAGAGACGATTCAGGGAGATACATCTGCGAGGTGACAGTGGAAATACCCAATCTCAACAAGGCTCAAGGAAATGGTACCGTCCTCACAGTTACGGCCAAGGACAACGCAACAGGTACGTTGACACAACACCGGTGGCATTGCAGTGTTGCATAAAGGGTTTAACTAATATCTTGTTTGCCAGTGGATGAGCTTGATAATTCTACATCGTCAAAATGAGATGGAAAACAGAGGCCGTATATATTGGACTCAAATACTTGACGTGCTTGTTCTAACACATGGTTTACTTTTTTTTTTAAACAAACATATCTTCCTTAAAAAAACAGCACGTTCATTTTTGTTGTCGTTGTTGTAATACTTGTGTGTTTCTTTTACAATGTGGCCATCCAGGTTTGTACAAAAATGTCATCGTTTCTCTGGCTGTGGTGGCTCTGTTGCTCCTCATCGCTCTCGCGTGTGTCTGGTGTCTGCGACGAAGACGAGGTACAAGAGAAATATATGATTACCATACGATGCAGATAGTTTTCACTAAACCTCCCTCTGACTCCTGTCCCTTCTTCTTAAAAAAATCTAATTTGTGTGCATGTCAGCATTGAAAAAGTACAATAAATTATTGAATTAAACTACATTTATTGTTTCAGAGAACACACTGTGAAATCAGAATGTAGGAAGACAATTTTAATATCGGTAAGAGTAGCAAAGTTATTGTTGGAAAGACGTAAACATTCCAGCAGGTGCTTGATTTGAGCGTAAGATTTAAATAAGCGTTTGGCAAAAAAGTGCTTTTAAGATAAAGACACTGACATATTATCACTTCAGTTGCCCATGAGCTGGTAAAAAGATAGAATCTAAGTTGCAGGTTGTAAAGAAAATCAACGCAAAAGGTGCAGTTGTGATGACTGAATTTAGCAGTGATAAATATCTTAATTTGCTCCATGGTGAACATATAAATATGCTGAGGAACAGTTATTATTCGTAAAATTGTGGCAGCTGAACTCTTTAAAATAACTGAGAGGACCAGAGAACCGACTCAGACCAAACGGCATCCACTATAATTCTAAGGAATATACAAAAGATGTGTGAGCTGAAATATCTCCTGATTGAACTAAGTCATATTCATGTTTGATATTTACATGGGATTCTATCATGCTCTCTTTTCCGCAAGGGCACTTATATTAGGGGGTCTCTTTATAGCAACACAGTTCAACACAAAACATTGTGTAATTTCAATAAAAATGTATAGGACCAAAAAGTTATCCCTGTGGTTCACCAAGTACAAATGTACTACTAAGAATGACAAATAATTGCTTGTTGCGATAAATTTAAATAACGCTAAAGTGTCTTCTATGTATGTTGTTGCTGCACAGTTTTTTGTTGTTGATGCAACTAACCGTGTAATTGTTTGTGTGTGTGTGTCCCACGGACTCAGTGCATGCCACCAGGGTGATCTACGAGGTTCCCCACATTGACTCTGAGGAGGTAGAAATGGACAAACACAGCACCAGCTCATCCAAAGGGTCTTCTCAGTGGGTGAGTTTAATGGCAATCACGGCTACAGAGACAAATACTGTGTGTTGAGTAAGAATAACAGTAACAAACAGTCTCCCCATTTTTGTTCAGTTTGGTGGATCTGGTTTCACATAGTTTGACAAACAACCTTTGAATGTGATCTCGTTTCGCCTTGTATGGTCCCCGTCATCAACAATATGCGTCACTGTTTATGCAACTGAATGGAGTTTTGACCATGCAGACGGATTAGCAACCATTAAACAACTGTCACTAGCATCAAAATCTTTGGTTGGGGCCTGTTCGGATCTCTGAATCCATATTTTAAAAGCGTAGAACTCAAGCTCTACAGAACACCAACAATAAACTTTTAAAGGGTACTCATGTGGACTTTAAATACTTTCCAGATTTTACTAACAGTTATGTTATATTCAACTGCATTGTGTTGTCAGGGTTTCTGGATCACATTTTAGCTGAAATAAATGTTTTCCCGATCGGCAGCTTTGGCGGGAACTTCACTGTTGACTCACTATTATGAAATATTACTTCCCTTTTGAGCAATCATGTCTACCAATCAGTCTACTCAGCATTATATTGTGACATTAACAAAGGACTTTGACGGAAGTTGATATACTAGTACATTCCCCTGATAACGTATATTGCAGGCTTGCCTAATGACTGTTTTTATGTATTTCTCTCTTTCAGTGTCAGGTACCAGTGTATGAATCCTTCGATTACTTTGAACGTGTCGAGACCAAAGAAAGTGGATGAAGATGTGCTGACCAGGGAAATATTCCCATCTTTGACTAGTTTTGATTCTGCTTTTCAGCATGTATATAATGTACATAATTTTACTCGCATTTACTTGAATTATGGACTTTTGTATATTAGGATTTTATATGAATGTAAATATTTGATATTTTTCTATAAACTCAGTTCTTTCCATTTTTGTGGTCTAAGTCAATTTCATCATGACAGTTTTGGACAGGCTTACTTGCATGATTGCTTTTGTTTTCCCTTCATGGCACTACAAGCTGTAGTCGGTGGTCTGCAATAGGAAGTGTGATGATTCTGTAGACGTAGGTTTCACAATGACTTCCAATCTTGAGAAGGACGCAGGGTGGAAACTGTTGCCACAGACTTGCACATAAAAAGGTCAATGACAGGAAGTGGAAACATCTCCTGCGTGGTCGTTTCTCCCTGGCCTCAACACTCAATACAGAGCTTCTACAATATTAAATCCTGAGTAGCTAACTTATTGTAAATACATTAGGTCAAGACCATGTTTTACTGATCATTCACCTCTAAAATGTGCGTGCTCTGCATTTCAGGTTACGTGTTGATTTTTGAGAAGTTGGAAAGAAGCCCGTTGACATAATTGAAACCACAATTGCATAATTACAATATGTTGCTCACACGAACCACACAAAAAAAGTCTAAGACAACATTGCCAAACCGTAAAGACTATACTGGAGAGCTTTTGGGAATGTTGCTGGTTCTTCTACTATTAAAGGTTTATCAAGATTAGAGCATGTTGCAAACGACATTTACTGTACATCTGTTCATCCAAAAGTGCTTTGAATGGTTAGGGTTAGGATCAATGTCTTCACTAAATGGCTGTCTTCAGTTTCAGCTTTAGAGTTAGAACATATCTTGGTTTCCACATAGCTGTATCAGCCCTATTTGTGACTCAGCAGCCCCCGAAGTTCAAACAAGATTGTCCTCTTCTCTCTTAGGATAAAAATCAATAAAGAAATGATCATGATTCAAATGAAAGGATTTCCCAACTAATCAGAATAATACAAATCTGGGCAATTTGAGGCAAAACAAAATGTACATTTCTAAAAGCTAATATGCTAGACATACAGTTGTGGTCAAACGTTTACATGCACTTGTCAAGAACATAATGTCATGGCTCTCTTGAGTTTCCAGTTATTTCTACATCTCTGATTTTTCTCTAACAGGGTGATTGGAACAGATACTTCTTTGTCACAAAAAACATTCATGAAGTTTGGTTCGTTTATGCCTTTATAATGGGTTAACAGAAAAAGTGACAAAATCTGCTTGGTCAAAGATATACATACAACACCACGAATTAATAACTTAGACAGTTGTATCAATGAAATGAGCTTCATAGCATGGCCTCTCTTCTTGTGAGTGATTATGAGTGACTACAGCTGGTGACGTCTCTGAGGCCATTTAAATAGGGCTCATTGGATACAAACATCCACAAACGCTACAATGGGAAAGTCAAAGAAGCTCAAAATGGATCTGAAAAAGCAAATCATTGCCTTGAACAAGTCAGGAAAGTCACTTTGAGCCATTTCAAAGCAGCTGCAGGTTCCAAGAGCAACAGTGCAAACAATTGTTTTATTATAAAGTGGCACTGTTTTGTCCCTGTCATGATCAGGAAGAAAATTACCTGCTGCTGAGAAAAAATTGGTCAGGAGGGTGAAGGGTCAACTGAGAACCACCAAAAAGCAGATCTGCCAAGAAGTAGAAGGTGCTGAAACACAGGTGTCAGTGTCCAGTCAAGCGTGTTTTGCATCTCCATGGAGAGGCTGCCGTGCAAGAACGCGGCACCTTAAGGCTCGACTGAAGTTTGCTGCTGATCACATGGACAAAGAGAAGACCTTCTGGAGGAACGTTCTGTGGTCAAACGAAACAAAAAACACCCAAATCACACTCTTAAACCAATGTCAGCTGGCTGCTTTTCCCCCCCCCACTATCTTTCCAAAGGTATAAAAATACTCCTCCCAATACGTTCACATCTACTACTGTGTTCATCTGTGTTTTTACCGTTTTTCTATATTCAACCCCCATCTACGCAGCAACCATGACCCATGGGTCGTCGTGGCGCAGGGGTTAGAGAAGGTGTGCTGGGAAGTACAAGGTTGTTGGTTTGATTCCAGGCTGCCCCATGTTCCATGTTGAAGTGTCCCTGAGCAAGACACCTAACCCCTAATTGCTCCCCGGGCAAAAATGTGAAAAAGCCATGGGTTTAAAGTGTAATGTGAGTCGCTTTGGATAAAAGCGTCTGCTAAATGACCTGTAATGTAATGACCCAGCTAGAGACAGCCATGGCCATGCTGATGAAGACCTTTGATACATATGCTGCTGGCGAGGGCAGTGAGGACACCCTAAGCAAAGCAGAGGTCAAGACCTTGCTGGAGAAGGAGCTGCCTGGACTGCTGAAGATACCATACACAGAGCTGTACTGAATGAGATGTCTTACGGTATTCATTGCCTCCAGCTGTCACGATGTGGTTCACTTCCTGTCATATTATGTAGTTTTCTGCCACTCGTGTCCCCGGGTAACTTCACTTCCTGCCTTGTCCTGTCATCCCCTGATCGTCTAATAGTTTCCACCTGTGTCCAATCACCTGCACCTCCCTAGTGTATTTAAGCCGTGTGTGTCTTGTCGCGTCGTTGTCTATCGTCGTGGATGTTTCTTGTCAATCTTCCTGGATATTTCTTGGTCCCTGCCTGTATTTTTGCCACGGTTCCTGTGTGCCTTTTTGCCCCTTCGCCTTCGCTTTTGCCTTTTGACTATTAAAGTCTTTTTTCTAAGAAGTCTGCGTTTGAGTCCTGCCTCCTCCACCCATCCCTGCCACCAGCCCTGTCAGACCTTTTTTTTTTTTTTTTTTTTTTAAAACATTGCAATTATTCCTAAATGAATTTAGCCTAACACAGGTCTTCTAACTTTTGTGAAATTAATGGCCTCATTGTGGCAAGAACACCATGGCTACCGTCAAGCACTGTGGTAGCATTGTGCTGTTTTGCTGCCAATGGAACTGGTGCTTTACAGAGTAAATGGGATAATGAGGAAGGAGGATTACCTTATTCAAGATAACTTAAAATCATCAGCCCGATGGTTGGGTCTTGGGCGCAGTTTGGTGTTTCAACATGACTCCAAACACACATCAAAACTGGTAATAGAATGGCCAAATCAGGCTAGAATTATGGTTTTAGAATGGCCTTCCCAAAGTCCTGACTTAAATCCCATTGAGAACATGTGGACAATGCTGAAGAAACAAGTCCATGTCAGAAAGCCATCAAATTTACCTGAACTGCACCAATTCTGTCACGAGAAGTGGTCAAAGATTCAACAAGAAGCTTGCCTGAAACTTGTGGATGGCTACCAAAGGCGCCTAATTGAAGTGAAAATAGTAGTAATAGTAGTAGTAGTTTACATTTCGGCTACAATGAGTAGTAGTTGTATTCAAAAATGAAGAAACGGACAGGTCATCGCAGATCAAAAGGTTAAAATCAAATGTACAAATAAAAGCTGGTGTTGTGGTAAAAAGAACGTCTCAGCTGAGGAGCCGCTGGTCTCAGCAACCAACAGGCCCCAGGTCAGTCCTTCTGACCATCCCTAGTGCCCGTCTGTCACCTCCACCAGTGAACTCAAGAACAATGGTTCCTACAGGTATTTATAACAATGCTTAAAGGTGTGACAGTTAGTGTCCACACCTCTGGGAGTGGTCTTCTGGTGAGTTCAATGTAACTCGGATTTCGAATAGCTCTTAGTCAATATCAGTTGTTGTGCCAGTTTTAAATGGATGCATTCCAGTTGATTACATTACATCAAATACAATCATAACTGTACATTGATTTTCTATTACAGTTGCAGAATTACTGTAGTTTTACAATATTGTCATTACTTTTTTGATTACAGTTTAAGAATCATGGCTGTATTCTGGTGTACACTGAATGCATTTTTATTAATTTTATGAACCGGGTCGTCCATTTATTTCTAATATCCTACATAGTGTATATAACCTTTGGGACAAGGGTGATCTTCGTTTCACAGGTCCACACATCTGTGCTTTGAGAGGAATGAATGAATGAATGAATATAAATAGTAGCTTATGGGTTCATAACCCGTTTGTCAATACACATTTAACCCAATGCGTCAGCCATTGCCAGACTGAGTGTTGAAGGCTGCAGAAAGACACTCCTTCGCTCATAGAAACAGACACTAACTTTTACCTTTCGTATCAGCTGTACACTCAGGAGACTTTTTTTCTTTTTTTTTTCACAAGCACAAATGGTGTTCACCACCCCTTTGCACGTGTCCACATTGTAGTCACTTGCACACATTCACATTGCACATGAACTGAAACCAGTTTTTCTCAGCTTCTGAAAGGTGTCACAACAACTTTAGTGTGACGTGCTGTTTAAACATGTCCAATCACCTGCACCTCCCCAGTGTATTTAAACCAGGTGTGTCCTTTGTCTCCTTGTTGGATTGTCCGTTTGAATTTGAATGCAGTTTCACAACAAAAAACAGGATAAAAACAGGATAGGCTCCAAACTGGATTGATAAAGTTAGATACCTGAAAGTATCTATCTGTAAAAACTATCAGAACCTAGATCGGACCAAAGCTGAAAGGTTTGCATGCTAGTGCCACTGAAGCACTCGGTCTCTTGATGTCTTTTGATGAAACAGCCTTTAAGACAAATCATAAAATTCCGTCGATTTTGCACAAATAAAGATGTACAACAACATACTATTGGATATCATAAGGAAACTGTAGCAGACGAAAATAGACACTATTTTAAAATTAACATTTTATTTCAACCAGTAAAGATCTCAAAGTTGACCAGAAGATGAAAGATGCTTTTGCCTCTGTTGTTTATAATCTTTAATAATCACTTTATGTTTTGTTGGAGTCCAACTGCGGTTAAATAATGGATATGCACTTTGATACGGTTTACTCCTCAATGTGTTCAATGTTTTATTTATTTCAACCAAAGCTGTGCTGCAGCCAAGTTGCTTACTGCTCCACCTTCATACTGTGTGTTGTAACCGAGCACTGTTTCCAGGAAACCAGAAAAGCGAACATGTTTGCTCATGTGCTTTTACACAGTTCAAACGTTCCTCTCGTGGTTGTCCAGTATGCAGGCACAACAACAAAGCACAGGTGATGTTTCAAAGGGTGTCCTGGTAATGATACCCAAAGAAAACAAACTCCACAGGGTTTACACCAAAGAATAGGGCTAGAGCTTTGTCCGGGATGGAAAAAAAGAGGATCAAATGTGATTGATTTTATGAAAAGGCCTCCACTGAATGACTAACGCTCCATGTTGGAGGTGAGGTAATATGTACATTGGGCGTTTCTGGGCTGCAGTTGTGTTGACAATTGGAGCCAACACCCAAATCACACACTTAAACCAATGTCAGCTGACCTTTTTTTTTTTTTTCACCATCTTTCAAAAGGTATAAAAACTCCTCCCAGTACCTGCACATCTACTGCTCTGTTCATCTGTGTTTGTACCGTTTTTCCATATTCAACCCCCATCTACGCAGCAACCATGACCCAGCTAGAGACAGCCATGGCCATGCTGATGAAGACCTTTGATACATATGCTGCTGGCGAGGGCAGTAAGGACACCCTAAGCAAAGCCGAGGTCAAGACCTTGCTGGAGAAGGAGCTGCCTGGACTGCTGAAGGTACCGTACACAGAACTGTGCTGTACTGAATGAGACGTCTTACGGTATTTATTGCCTCCAGCCCAGTCAGACTTTTTTTTTAAACACTGCTAATATTCCTAAATGAATTCCACCTAAAACAGGTTTTCTAACTTTAGTGAAATTACTGGCCTCAAATGGTTTGTCTCCACCAGTTTTGGTGGTTACTTAATAATATTAAGTAGATTAGCTCAAGTAGCTTTGGTAATGCTGGCATTTTGCAGCTGTCCATTTACAGATTTATTGACTAGTTTGAAAGGTTTCTGCTCTCACGGCGTCATGCCTCAACTTATCTGCTCCCTTTATCATTGAGCATGAATCATACAATCTTGAAAGGAGGGGCATATATACAAAGCCATTAGAAAACCCAAGCAGTCCTCCTCCGTGGTTCTTTTTTTTATAATATCTGTTTGTTTTGACTTAATCACTGTTAGTATTTTCTTTGGTATTTTTAGTAATATACAATTGTATGTTCTTGACTGATATCAAGTATTTATTTGCTCAATTGACAAGACAACTCAATGGTCTGTGTGTGTCTGCGGTTTATTAGTGTTCATTGAACCACCATGAGAATCGGCACAAACGGGACCACGTGCATTCAGCAGTTTTCTGTAATATTTTAAGAGAAACCATCAGTATTCATTTTCATTCCTTTGTCTGCGCAGTCGGCGAAGAACCCAGGCGAGGTTGACAAGCTGTTCAAAAGTCTGGATTTTAATGGAGACTCAGAGGTGGACTTCAGTGAATTCGTGGTGATGGTAGCTGCTCTCACATGCGCCTGCCACGACCGCGGCTCCAAGAAGTGAGCCCTGTGGCGTGGCCCGGAAAACCGCCATGGCCGTTTCTTCTAATCTAATCTATGACTGGTTTCTGTAACAACTGAATAAAGCGATTTATTTACCTGTGCTTGGCTTGTCTTAATGTGTGTCCAACGTGAAGTTACCAGGTCCTTTTAGGGAATACGTATGTGACCATATACTCCAATAATACCACTGGGGTATTGTAAAAAAGAAAACACATTTGAATGACCAAAGTGTAAATTGTGCTCTTTAAAATTAAATATTTTTCTTTGGATGGAGAAGTAGTAGATATCCATGTTATGGTGTTCATTCTTACTGTCACAATAAAATACTACAACACAAAGCCTTTTTTTCTTTTCTTTTTTTTTTTTTACCGAAACTTTACAATAAACATATCAACCTATGTAAACATATAAATCACATGTGCAACAGACTTCAAAGAGAATTCAAAGCGACACTCCATAAACTATGTTGCAATGTGCTTCTGCAGTAGCAGAGACCACGTGTCATGTGAGTGCGACAGGAAATGTTTTTTAGGTGGTCAGACGTCCTCGCTGTGTCAACTAGAACACACGTATACTGTACACACAGCTGCCTCTTCCTAAAGGGGAAAGTACATACTTTATGCGTAACTTCAAAGTGTTTGATAAAGAGAATGTGTGTCTCTCTGGTGAGTGTTAAAAAAAATTAATAGCAACATAAATGTCCTTTCAAGACATGAATACAATAGTGTAATAAGCTATGTTGGGATACATATGAGATGACTAATAAAGGTTGCTTTGTGTACATGGCCTGGGAGTGACAGCATAATGGACAACACACACACACACACACAGTACATAGATAATGACAAGACTCAGTGAGGGGAAAATACCAAAGATCTCAGACCCCCAAGAATCCCCTGTATTGCCCACACTGTTGCTGAATGATAATTCACAGATAGCTAAAAATGCGTATTTAAACTATAAAGAAAGATATCAGAAATATCTCATTTACTGATATTCAGGGTCAGGCTGTTGATGTTCTACCACCTGCCTTTGTGATCTCGCTCTCGGGAACTTCGATGGCTTTGCTGCCTGCCTTGAAGTCTACACATGTTTCCGAGCCGCGTTACACCTGCACAGACATTTTGGGGGGCAGGTGCTCAAACCAAAACAAAATGGCACCCATCGCCAAATTGATTCATTAAATTAAAAATAATAATTCAATTAAAATATAGCAGGATATTTTCAACTTACATATTTATTTTTGTTAACAAACTAACTCAAATTGAATAAATAAATGAATAACTGGAATTTCCAGTTCCATTTGTTGATGATCAGCTAGAACAGGGGTCTCAAACTCCGGGTCGCGGGTCATATCCGGCCCGCCGGAGGGTACCGACTTTGGCACCCCCCCCCGTCGACCGTACCGTTCGCCGGTCGGACCGTCAGCGCCGCCACCCCCGTCAACCGTGATGGTCCGGCCCGCGTTCGGTGGAGGTGGGCTGCATCTGGCTCGCACCTGGTTTGAGTTTGGGACACCTGAGCGAGGAGATCAACATTCATTTGTGCATCGTCTGAAAACATACCAGGCCTCCGTGCAAGATGTCGCACCACCTCATTTATTCACAACACTCATGACGTCCACCTGAAATGTGTCCTAAAGCCGAGCATTTGCGGCGTTTCCGGTCTTTTTCCAGTGATCGCCACTGAGCTAAAAACTGAAATAACAACTAACAGGCTGTTGTTGCTGGGAGGAGGAGGAGGAGGAGGAGGAGGAGGAGGAAGAAGAGGAGGAGGACGAGGAGGAAGAAGAGGAGGAGGACGAGGAGGAAGATTTCATCACTGGGGGTCTATCTGTGCACGGGCCTGTTCAGGGCGCTTGGTGGTTGGATTGTAACGGATCCGGTATATGAAAAGACGTGCATCTTCTTGCTGGTGAAATTACTGCTTTATTTTCTTCCTTTTGACAAAACAACCTCATTAAACGCCACGGTAAAATACCACCGTAAGAGCTTTTTGCCCTTTTTCATACGGGTCCATTAAACTACTACAATTTTAAGAATAAATTTGCATCTGTCCGTAACAAGATCTGTACATTCGCAAATAAACATTCACTTTTTACCTTTCAAATTAAGTCATTCCTTTTCCGGAAGCTCTATGGGGTTATTTACTGAACCAAAAGCAGCTGATGTTGTCCTCTTGTTGTGGCACGCAGGCTCTGTGGCGCCTCTCAGAGGGAAGAGGACAATCTGCAGTGGTGTTACTTTTATTTGACTGGAGGTATGTGAGATACTTGAAGCCACTCCTTGGATTACATGAGTTTCTTTTTTTAAACAAATTCAAATTTGGCATCCCTGCAAAAATCATTTTATCCTTTTATTCATTGAGTTCATAAACTGAATGTTATATTCAGTACTTTATTACATTTTACATAAAATTACATTACATAAAAAAGCGTGATCGAAGTTCAACCCACACAAAGCTTTGTGTTGTTTTAGTGTCAACAGTTCAAGAAATCACATACTGATGGCACACGGAAGCTTTCCCACAAGGCTCAGCACTGTTCACAGTGGGGAGCACGGTCGTCCTCCAGTCAGAGGGTTGTCGGTTTGATCCCAGGCTCTGCTAACCCGCATGTTGATGTGTCCTTGCTTAACCCCAACGTTGCTCCTGTAGCTGCGACTACAGTGTGTCAGTTACTGATGTGCAGGTGTCACTGTGTTTGGTTCTCCTGTCATCAGTGTATGAATGGGTGTGAATGGGTGAATGATGTCATGTAGTGTTAAAGCGCTTTGAGTGGTCAGAAGAGTAGAAAAGCGCTATGCAGTACAGTCCATTTACCATTTGTGGTGAATCACCATTGTGAGGCCGATGACAGTTCATATTGTCTGCAGACTGCATAAAAAAACATATGACATTAATTTTGGTTAATTGGCAACATTATTTTTTCATTAGATCGTTCAGAATAATTTCAAATGATTAAAGTCTGCATCATTGGTTGGACTAAAGAAATATCGTAAAAGGTGTAATGACAGCAGCATTCATTTGATTGACTAATGGAGGAAGTAATCATCAGATGAAATCCATAATGAAAAAAGCCTCTTCATACATCAAGAGTCCTACTTTCACTGTCGGGATTATAAAAAGTACAATGATGTCACAGATGTGAACACCTCCACCGCTGGTCTAAGGTGGTCTTCCTCTTCATCCTGCTGCGATGCCTCGTGTCTCAAGGTCGGGTCAGCACTCTATTAGCCCACCAGGATGCGATGGCCAAGGGACACACTTCTCCCAGCTTACAGAACGCCGGTGCTGCCCTCCAGCGACAGCTGACTCCCCCCTTTGACATCCCGGGTCACTCGTGCGTGAAGTGCAGAGCTTCATTTTCATCACAAGTGTACCAGGCTTCACAGCCATGCTTATCCGGGGACAGAGGTTCCTCACCTCTTTGCTGCAGTTGTTTTTGACGGTGCAGGCTGAGAAGGCCTCACAGGGCTTTGTGTGCAGCACGGGATGGCCTGTAATCGGCTTGCAGGGTCATCAAGCTCAGACTCCCCTCTCTCGCTCTCTCTCTGTCCGGGGCATTAAAAGGGCTTATGAGGATTAGGTATCCAGGGAGAAGGAGGATGTGGCTCCCCAGTCAGGAGGTTCAGGTGGGAAGAGAAAGTGTGGTGGGCGTGTGAGGACTTGACTGTGCTTGTTTTTGGTGCGTGCAATACTGTATTTTTAATCATTATTTATTGTATAAAATGCCCCTATTGTATTATTTTGAAAAAAAATTAAAAAATACAAGCAAAAGTATATGACATTATATTGCTTATTTTAGGAATTGCCAACACATTCAGCTGTGTATCTCATTATGTCATAACAAGTGGTTTTACAAAGACATTTTTTTCTTACAAATTACAGATTCAGATTACTGATGCACGATATTTGCAGTTTGATGTTTTACACAAAGCACACGCACACACTTGCAGTACTTTGCTCGGTCCAAGTAAAAAAGTAAGACAGTTATGAATTCTGTGGTCACACGCGTTGCATGTGACACTCATCTCATGTCGTGTCGCTCGGTACTGTCAACAGGTTACTTAACACAGGGGTTGTTTGAATATTGATAATGCAAACTTTCATCTTGTGATGTATGGTCATCAAAGAAGATCAACATTAATATTAGGGTGCGTGGCTATTCCTTCAGTACTCCACCAGTGCTGTGCCTGTTCTGATGGCTCATTTTACGAAAAACACCCGACTCATTGCCCGACAACTTGTTTAACCCGTAAGACCCAATTGTTTTGGAGGCCTATTGCTCCAAAAATACAACAGTGCTGAGGGAACACGTTTTTACGTTGTTACGTTTTTCTTTAAAACCTGTCTTCCAAGAAAGGCCTGTTGGGCGTGGAGGGCAGGTCTGTGTGCTAGCTAATGAAGTATTGCCACGGCTTCTACAACGGTGCCTCGAATAGCAAGCATTCCTTTCAAGTTAGTGTCACAGAGGCCATTTCTGTCTCTGTCGAACAGAATGCTGGCGTCTGGTGAATGCATGACCTCTAAACACAGCACCGCCCGGCTGATCCCTTCTTTATCCGAAATGTGTAACACTGATAACATTGGCTGCGTTGTCTTTATTGACGGGACGGAGAAGTCTCTAAGTCTGATAGTGAGGAGAACGAAACGCAAACAGTCGTCATTCATACCAGACAGTGGCGTCGGCGCCATTACCTTTGACCTGCAAATATTATAAGCAGGCTTTGTTGTGCAGGGATGTGGAATAACAGTGCATGTTTTTACCATTTGGTTCCGCGACAAACCTTTGGATACACGGAAGCTAGTAGTTTTTGGGAGTCATTAATGTTGCTCATTTTTCATCTTAACTTCCTTCTGCTCAATGAAAAAAAAACATTTGTACTTGGGATTCATCTGTGTACCTTTTAACTCCCTCGGAGTATTCATTACTCCAAATGTGCAGACGGGTTGACACGAGGCCGCGAGGGCACCTCATTTGCATTGAGAACACATTCATGCCTGTGCTGTGCTGATAACAGGCTCTCTGTGGATAGACTGTGGCCAAATGATGTAATCCACAGTTACACGCTCTTACAGCCACTTGCCTATGATGCCAGTA